GATGCTTATGAAAAAGCATGAAATGCGGACTCTTCTGCCCAAGAACAGGATTAATCTGATAATTAATCAATCGTATAGCTGTTGCTACCGCCTCAGGCCAAAACCGGGGCGGAACCGAGGACGCAAGAAGTAAGGCCCGAGTTAATTCCACAACGTGCCTATTTTTCCTTTCAACTAGGCCATTCTGCTGAGATACATATGGGCATGATTTCTGAGTTAAGATGCCCTGATACCCGAAGAAGTAGCCAAAGGATGAGAACTGAACTCACCACCGGGATCCGAGCGTACTACCTTCACTGTATGGCCAAATTGTGTCTGAATCATCTTAACAAATTCCTGAGCAATGGCAAGCAACTCAGATTTAAGCCGAAGAAAATAAACCCAGGTAAACCGGGTCGCATGATCCACAAACAAAGCAAAGTACTTATAACCATGGCGGGACGTATCAGGCGAAGGACCCCAAAGATCTGTATGTACCACATGAAAAGGCTCCGATATAATAGTAGTACTAGAAGGAAACGAACTACGCGTCGTCTTGGCTTCAATACAACTACTGCAAACGAACTCACCAAAGGAGTTTATCAACCTTTTTATTTCCAAATTATTTTATGTTTGAACATAGTACTCAATCTACCCGAATGAGGATGACCCAAACGAGAATGCCAAAGATCAATATCCGAATGGTTAACACTAGAGAAAGCCGAAAACAAAGGCTGAGAAACCGACTCCCGAGACACCAAACCCGGCGCCACAGGTACCGACTCCGACATACAAGGTTGACCCGACAGCTCCTCCAGCTGAAAACTCCGCCCCTTTTACTTCCCCGGCCGATCTGCCTCCCCATCGTCTGAACCTGAATAAAACAACCAGAAGAACCGAACACAACACGAAAATTTTGCTCAGTAAGCTGGCCCACCGAAACCAGGTTCGGCACTAGTGTAGGAACATGTAATGTACAAGGTAACGATAGCCGAGAATCCTAAACATCACCAATATGCTTAACAGATAGGCGAGACCCATTAGCTACTTGAATAGAAAAATTCTTAACTGGTTTAGTACCACACATCTTAAAACATGCGGAATCTATAAGCCAAGGTTTAGATGAAATACCAGACCCATGCATCGTGGAAAATGGTGGTAATTGCCGTGGGAAGGGACCGTTGAAGGGTTGCATTAATAAGCTTCTCCACATCAGCCGGGGTCAAGCTTGAGCTAGTGGAGGACGTGGCCGAGCTCTCGCCCGAACCAGCAGCTGATGCCTGAACAGAATATGCCCCCGCAGCGGACGCAACAGTCGAACTCGACGAGCCTTGAGGACGCGCCTTCAACCGACGACACTCCGAGATAATGTGCCCTCCTTTCTTGCAAAACATACAAAAATTGCGAACCTTGTAATACTTTTAAACATGAACCACCTCTTGACAGTGATGACAGGTAAGCTCCGACACCGGAACGCGACGCTGAAACTGCGGTTTGCCCACAGCAAACGCTTCGTCTCCCACAGCAGGACTGGAGCTTTAGTTCGACGCGAATGAACAGCATCAAAGACCTGATCGCCCACTCCAGGCCGCGCGTCAAGCTGGGATTGCGTATGCAATCTAGTCTCTTCCGAACCAGAGTACTCAAAACCCCTTCGAATTTGATGTCCTCCCGATTAAGTAACGTAGCCCTAACATTCTCAAACTCCGGCCGAAGCAGCATCAAAAATTGCATCAGCCTAGCCTGATTTCGTTCAGCAACGACATCAGCCGTTACTGCCGCTGGTCGAAGGGACGTAATCAGGAGGTCTTGCTCCGTCCAAAGCAGTTGAGAAGCCTGGAAATATGCCATCACATCCAGGTCACCTTGTTCCAAGCGGGCGAGGGCGGGTTGCAGTTCAAACTGCCTAGCTACACTCGTTGTCTAGTATGTAGAAGCTAGGTAGTTCCACATTTCGGACGCAGCAGTGAATAGCCGTAATCCTAGAGCAATAATTGGATCCACCGATCCAAGAATCCATGTCTTGATACGTGCATTGTTTTGCACCCAGCGCTCGAGCTCCTGCGCAGCAGCCGGCGGAACTTGAGGTCTCGGCAGAGAACCATCCAACAACGGAAGAAGACCTATACCTTCAACAAATATGCGAAACTGAAACTCCCATAACGCATAGTTCTTCGAATTGAGACGAACAGACAGCCGATAAGAATCGGTCACAGAAAGCTTTGATAACATGTTGAAATTGCTGAACTGAACTAAACCGAACAAATAAACGACACACAGATTTACGTGGTTTCCCCGATAACGGGACTAGTCCATGGGAGAGTTTTACCTCTCCGAGCTGAGAATATTATTAGGTTTTTCGTGTTTTTATGTTGGTAGGTTACAGGGCAATTTATACCAAACTTCTCCTCTTCTAGCCCTCTAGACACGTAGGCTAGGGTTCTATTGGGCTACATAAATATACTAAATACATGGGCCAAACAAACCGAACCCAAGTCTGCTAACACCTGTGACCAGCACGATTTCTCGCTGAGCGTACTTCAGATTACCCAAAACAAAAGAAAGAAAAACGCACAACCGACGGAAGGAGGACACAAAGGGCCCACCCAAGCCCAGCAGCCAATCAAAAGATAGTGAACAGAAAAATTAGGTCTAAATGAGCTGTGTAAATGTTTCTAAATGTAAGTGCAAGTGTGTTTGACGAGTTTTATACTTTGAATTGAATTTGAAGGTCTAAATGAGCAGTGTAAAGGTTTCTGAATGTACAGTGCAAGTGTGTTTGCGGGTTTTATAGTTTGAATGAATGGGTTGAAGTTAGTCTTAGCTGCTTCTTTTTCTGAACTTCTATTGGTCCACTTTAGGTAGTTATAAGATATGAATACTTTTTATAGTATCATGAAGCTAGTTTCATTTTGCTTATTATCTCTGCAAATGGTGGATGCTTAGGAGACAGAGACCTTAGAAGAAATTGTCACATTAGCAAGTTAATGTAGAATTTTAGCAGTCACATAGAATTTTAACTAACAAGCTCTTTAATATATGTGGTTTGGATATAGGGATAGATAGGTAGATAAAGAGAATGTAATGAGTAGTGGGAGTTTTATCATTTGATGCGTTTATGGACTATTGGCTGGGAGGAATTCATTCATGGTTTGCTTTACTCCATTGAGAGTGCAGATTGATTACATCCCCTCTTAAATGATCTTTTTATCCCTGTTTAGGAAGCATAATTTGTAAGCGTAATTCTGTGTAGTTTATGAATCAAGGAGGTCTATATTATTTCTGCAAAATCTTGGAAAGAGGTGCCATCTCCAACATTTCGTAAAATAGTATCAGGCAAAAATAATAATGAAATCCTGGAAAGTATAAAGGTTTTCCATTGTTAAATAAACGATATAGAGAACTTTATAATTGATAACCAAACAAGAAAAATGAAATGAATTGCAAGTCGCCCATAAAGTGAACTTCATATGAAAAGTTGCATTGACTATATTGGTAGATTACGGCAACATTAATCTAGACAACTTAGTTTCTCATATCGAGCACTCTATAACTTGCTTGATGGTTTACAAGTCATATCAACTTTCATATAGGCGTACAGTTGGTATTGATTGTTTGGTCAATGGGGGTTGTTGACTCCCATTCCCTACTTCTTGATCGAGTTGTTAAATGAATAATGGATGGACTACATACTAGCTACATGTTCACATCTGCAACCTCTCATAATCAATTAATTCTTCTACCAATAAGTTCCACGATTAATAGAACTTGTGAAACGAACCCAATTGAGCCTCGTAAAGTCAATGGATGTTGGGTACATTTTTATGGCGTCATTGTTTGTGGCTTAATAAAACAATCACTGTCTCCTTGCAGTTCGTTCAATCTATGTAATAGTCTGTGACAACTGAAACCACTTGACTCATAGATACATCTTTTCTGTTCGTGTATGTGAAATTGCATTTCTCCATTGGGAATTTTAAATTTGGGTTCTGTCGAGATGAGGAAAGTTTTGTGATGTCAACCATATGTAGGGAATTAACTTCTTTGGAATTCTGTCAATGTTGTTTTATCGCTTCATTAATTGTCAATTATTTTTGACACTTTGGTATATGATGTTACGTGATGAAGAATGCTATCGGGGAGATTGTTCACCCTGTCAACCTCTACACCAAGGCTCCTAATTTTCTGTTTCTGCTTCAACCTCTTCGAGCTCCCTGCCATGTGTACCTCCTTTATCTTCAAATCAAAGTTGAGCAATCTTGTGAAGACTTGTTGAAGATCAGCTCACATGTGACTAGAAATTACCCTTCTTGAAATTTTTTGGCGGAAATGAAGGGGTTGTTTGGATCGATTAATGATAAACGGGAAGGATGTTAAGTGAGGGTAAAAGTATAATAATTAAAATACATGGGATCGCAAGGTCATTTAACATCTAGATTTTGATCCTTTCTCCCACATCCAACCATATATGTGAGATTTCCAAATCCACGACTTTGGTACTTGCCCTTTTCTCCTACCAAACATTAGATTTGGCCAATCTCAAATCCTAGATTCAAACTACCTTTAGATAGTCAATTAATTTTCATGTTGAACTGAAAAAAGAAATAGGCAAAATACACTTGTATAGCCAAAACTTTTGCGTTTGTGCCAATAATAGCCAAATTTGGAGAAATACCACTAATAGCCATTTCCGTCCAATACTTTAACGGTGTTAGTAACACCGTCAACGAAGTTGACGGTTCGCTGACTAGGCTCCTAATCAATGCATACGTCAGCGCCAAACAAGCCGAAAATAACACGTCGTTAAATTAATAAATAAATAACCTTATTATAATTAATTACAGAAAAAAACAGAGGTGAAAAGTTTCCTTCCGTCTCTCATTTGATCTCCTTCATCTTCCCCATCTGTCCACCATCTCCATCAAAATCACACAAAATTATTTCTCAATAAACCAGAAGCAACAACAATCGCAGATCTGGAAATGGTGAAGAGAACCCAGAATCCTCTCTCTCAAAGGCACTTATTCCTCTTCGCAGACTCTCTTCGAGGCAGCATCCATTCTATCGTCTTCCTCTTCCAAATGGTGAGACCAGATCTGGTCGCATCTTCTCCGCCACCACTTCCCCTTATTCTTCGTCGAGACAGAGGGCATGGGAGGGGATTCTTCGCCCTGACAAAGTAGTCCTCGAAGCACTGGGCGGCACCAACCGCATGGACCACCCAGGCCCACCCCACTGCCACCGGATTCGAGGGTGACGGAGGAGTAGAGGAGGCCCGAGAGGATGCCGGCGTTGGCGCCGATGTCCTTGAAGACGGAGACGGTGTCGAGGGTGGATTGGTCGTAGCCCTGTGTGGCCTTGAGGACCGGGGAGTAGATGCCGAACGTGTAGGACGCTCCGACGACGCATTGGATCCATGTCCCGGCCACAGTCGCCGCCCATTTCGTTCTCAGGATCTCCATTTTCGATCCCCAATTTTCAATTTCCCTTGCAGAAGGGTAAAGCAATTTCCGGCAGGAGATAAGGGGAAAGTGAGGTGGGGAAGGAAACAAAAATCCATTAATTAATTTGAATTTCTTTATTTCATTAATTAATTTATGATGTGTAATAATAAAATAAAATTATGATGTGTCACTTTTAGCTTATTTGGCACTGACGTGTCTGCTGAGTTGGCATCTAATCAGCAAACCGTCAAATAAGTTGACGGTGTTAATAACACCGTTAAAGTATCTAACGGAAATGGCTAGATTTGTCCAACATAACTTTAAAAGCTGGCTATAAGTGGTATTTCTCCAAATTTGGCTATTATTGGCACAAACGCAAAAGTTTTGGCTATACAAGTGTATTTTGCCAAAGAAATATGATGTATATATACTGTTTATTTTCTTGAACTAAGATTAAGATAAAGAAATCTTAACCAAAGATATCTAAATTGGGGGTGTGCAATGATGTGATTGACACCGGATCAAATCGATATTTGAATCGGACCAATTTTATCGAATATAATGTGGTCCGATCCATAGTTCCATGAATTTTATGAATATTGAAAAATTAGAATATTTTGAATCAGACCAACCCAAATCAAATGAAATGATGGTTCAATTCTTAATATTCTGATTTCTTTTACTATTGAACTGCAATTTTTATGATTTGGTCTGATATCGAAGTGAAATTTGACACCCCTAATCTAATTATCAACCTACATCTGGGTATCCTGCCAATGGGCCGGGCACAAGCTAGTTCTTTGTCATGGCATAAACGGCAGGAGTATTAGGCATTTTGGCTCTTTTTCTCTTAATTTAGACCACCAAGGTTGGATTTTTACATAGCTTAGAAGTTAAATAATAATTTATATTTTTTTAATTATTTTATTTTTGGATGATTGTTGACCATAAATTTTGAAATTAATATGCGATGAATTGTGGAATTTTCCTTCGATATGGCAATCTCTCGAAGTTTCTAACTGCTACCACATTGCATATTTATTTTTTCTAACTACTACCACATTGCATATTTATTTTAGTTTCTTTTGGATTTAATAAAAAATAAGGTTAATAATTTGAATCTTGTGAAGATATATTTTTAAAACAATTATGTGAACAATAAGGAAGAAATGTGGAAATATATAGACAACACTAAAATTCGATAATATTATCCATAAATCTAGTTATGAACTAATTATCACCAATTTCTTAATCAACAAATAATAAAAATTGGTTTTGACACCTGGTCGTGCTCTAAAGTTGTGATTTCATTGCGCATTTGACATATACATCCACAGGTCTTCGTCTGCCTTTGCTCTTGTGATTCATTTTTAAGGTATGATCATGCATGATTGATTTGTTTCCCTATTTTATCGCTGTAAATTATAGGGCTAATACCATTAGGAAACCCGAACTATCAAAAAAGTGTTATTTGTGTCTCAAACTAATCAATATGACATTTATGTCCCAACGTATGATAGTTATGTGTTATTTGTGTCCTGATAATTTTGTTGACCGTTATAGATAATAGTTGACCAGACGATGGTCAACTTAATGTTGGGTTTTGTGTCCTCACTCTCTGCTTCCGCCGCTAGAATAGGAATTCCGACTTCCTCACCAATCTCCAGCAGCCTGGTGTTTTCCGGCGAGAAAACTTGCGTTGAATGAGAATTGAATGCACTTTAACTTCTTTGGACAACGATAACTAAACACGGTTCACACCTCTTCAAACATAGTTCGAACGAGGGTGTTCGATGTTTACACGACTCTCGAGACAGATCTACATTAAATTACTCCTAATTCTATGGAGGTTCTGAGAGAGTTCCAGATCTACGACTACTGATAAAAATTGCAGAGGAAAGATAAAATTGATAAACTTGACAAGTGGTGTCGAGTGGTGATTTTTGAGGGCCCCTTCTCTGTCAATCTATCCTCCTATTTATAGCCGTGAGTGAGTAACTGTCGTAGAAAAAACTGTCTCGGATAACTCCCAAAAAGAACTGCTCTCTGCTTCCTCGAAACATGGCTGACGTGTCCTTTGAACGTGGGATGAGTAGCAGTTATTTCTCAACTGCCTAGGTACCTCTCTTGAAACCGTCGTAGGATCTTGTAGCTTGCCTCATAGCTCACGCTCATGGACTTCTTTACTCAAGTCCATGGACCTCTTCATCACTCACATGGTCCTTCCCGTGAGGCGTGTCACGACCTTACTCTCGATCGTGCGGCCCTAGCTCTCAATTCCATTAGAGCGCTAGGCAACATTCTCTCAAACTCACTAGCAAGCAAAGAAAGCAAGAACAAGGCAAAGGAATTGGGAGAACACTCTATTGTGTATTACTCTAAAAAATGATGGAATGAGTTACAAGTGAGGGAGATGGCTCCTTATATAGGCCTCTCCTCATACAAGGCATCAATGCCCCTCATAATGTCCCTCTACATCAATACACCCATTAAGTCCCCCCCATAATACACCCTATAAATGTCACCCATTATGTGACCCATAAGTGCACCATTAAGCTCTCATTTAGGTGGAGAATTCTACGAGCATCTTGATGCTACTAGTCTTCCATACGCGCCACATGTGCAGCCGCCATGTTGTCACCTTGTTGGCGCCATGTCATCTGCCACATGTGACATCCTCCCCCACCTATGCTCGCGACGCTCTCGTCGCGTCCTCTTGATGGAAAGCCTCGATCAAGTCCTTGTTCTTCCAAAGCGTGAGCTCTTTCTCCCAAGTTGCTTCACTCTCCGGAAGGTTGCGCTACTTGACCAAGTATTCCACGAAGCTTGGATGTACGCCACGACGAGGAATGACACGACGCGCCATGACTTCTTCGACTTCATGGTCGTGTATCTTGGTGATGAGTGTTGTGCTCGATGTGAATCTCTTCGCTACTCGTCCTCCTTGTCTTCGTGGAAAGCCTTGAGTTGGCTCACATGAAAGACTGGATGGATCTCTAAGTGCGACGGCACCTCCACCTTGTACGCCACCTTGCCAATCCTCTTCACGATGGGGAATGGCCCTTCATACGGGCAAAGCAGTCCCTTGTGCACGTTCTTGAGATGCTTGAAGCTGTGAGGGTAGAACTTGACCATCACCATGTCTCCCTCTTCAAACTCCAAGTGTCGCCTCTTCTTGTCCGCCCACTTCTTCATCTTCTTACTAGCGCGGGTTAAGTAAGACTTGGTCATCTCCATCTTCTCGTGCCAGCCTTTTGCGAACTTGTAGGATGCCAGACTGTTGCCTCTATAACCCGTTGCCACCGTCGTAGGCGTCAAAGGTTGCTGCCCCATCGCCAACTCGAATGGGCTATTGTTCGACTCGCTGCGGTGCAAATTGTAGGAGAACTGTGTCGTGTCCATCAACTTCACCAAATCTCGCTAGTTTGCACTTACTTAGTGTCGCAAGTACACCTCCAACAAGGCATTAACCCGCTCCATCTCTCCATCACTTTGAGGATGAAATATCGTCGAGAAGTTTAAGTCTGAGCCCATGATATTGAACAACTCTCGCCAAAATCGGCCCGTGAAGGTCCCATCTCTGTCGCTCACGATGTTGCTAGGAATTCCCCAATACTTGACCACATTCTTGAAGAATAGAAGCACCACATCTTCTGCCATCATGTCTTTTGGGGTGGGGATGAACACTCCATACTTTGAGAACCGGTCCACCACAACCATGATACACCCGCACCAGTCGACTTTGGGAAGTCCGATGATGAAGTCCATGCTAACACTCTCCCATGGTCGTTGAGGCGTGGGCAAGGGCTCTAGCAAGCCTGCCAGGCTTCTCTGATCCATCTTTTCTTGTTGGCACACAAGACAAGTCTTCACATACATCTCCACGTCGTCTCTCATATGCGGTCAGAAGTACGCTTCTTCGACGAGCTCTTGCGTTCTCTCGATGCCGGGGTGGCCCGCCCATTTGGAATCATGGCATTCCTTCATTATCTCCTTCCTCAAGTTGGCCCACCTTGGCACGAACAAACGCTCTCCCTTGGTCATGATGAGCCCATCCTTCATCCAAAATCGTCGAGTCTTACCCTACTCGATGTACTCCGCTACGGTTTTGGCGAATGGGTCATGGCCAAGGCCTTCGACGATCCGCTCTTTCAAAGGAAAGACGGGCTGGCTGATGCTTGCGGCTGCACTCTTGCGGCTAAGAGCATCTGCGACGGAATTCGCCTTGCTTGGATTGTACTCCATGATGAAGTCGAACTCGGCCAAAAAGTCTTGTCATCTCGCTTGCTTGGGGGTGAGCTTCTTCTGCATGAGAAAGTAGCTCGTTGCCACGTTGTCTGTCTTCACTAAGAACTTTGACCCCAACGAGTAGTGCCTCCATATGCGCAAGCAATGCACCACGACCGTCATCTCCTTCTCCTGGACGGTGTATCGCCTCTCCGTCTCGTTGAGCTTCCGACTCTCGAAGGAAATGGGATGCCCAACTTGCATCAACACACCTCCAATCGCGAAGTCGGACGCATTGGTCTGCACTTCGTAGGCCAACGTCGGGTTGGGGAGCACGAGCACGGGCTCCTTCAGCACCGCTTGCTTCAAGGCCTCGAATGCTTCTTGGCACCGATCCGACCACTCCCACACCTTGTTCTTCTTCAAGAGATCTGTCAAGGGTGCTGCAATGTTGGAGTAGCCCCTGATAAATCTCCGATAATAGTTGGCAAGGTCGAGGAATGACCACAACTCTGGCACCTTCGTAGATGGCTCCCATTCTTAGATTGCCTCCACCTTCGCCCCATCCATCTTCAACTTGCCTCCACCAATGATGTGCCCCAAGAATGGAACCTCCGTGGCGGCAAAAGTGCACTTCTCCCTCTTGACGTACAACTCGTTGTCGCGAAGGACTTGGAAGACTTGGCGTAGATGCTTGGCATGCTCATCGAGTGTTTTGCTATACACTACGATGTCATCCTAGTAAACCACAACAAACCGGTCCAAGAATGGCTCGAACACTTGATTCATCA